TTATCACTGAAGAAGTCAGGGCAGGAACCTGGAGGCAGGAGCTGATGCAGAAGCTGTAGGGGAAGCTGTTTATAGGCGTGTTCCTTGTGGCTTGCTCATGGTTTTCTCATAGCACCAGGGTTGACCCTACCCACAGTGGGCTGGGCCTTCCCATATCAGTCACTAATTATAAAATGCTTTATAGGCTTGCCTACGGCCTGATCTTATGGAGCTATTTCCTCAATGGCGGTTACCTTCTTTCAGATGACTGTAGCCTTGTGTCAAGTTGATATAAAAATAGCCAGGACAGCATCCCAGTGGGAAAGGATGAAGAAAAGTTCCCTGTTACCACATGACATGATCTCATATGTAGAAAATCTTGAGGAGTCTACCGAAACAAAGAAAAAAACATTATAACTAATAAATGAAATCTAGCAGAGTAGCAGGATGCAAAATTTGGGCCTCATAAATCAGCTGCATTTCTTTAACAGTGGTTAGTCTGATTTTATAAAGAATTTTAGAAAGCATTTCCAGTTACAATAAACTTACTAATAGTTCAGAGTAAAATTAACAGAAGAGACAGACTAAAGATGTATTCTTTAATAAGATTGTCTAAGAATGTCTATAACCCCATCAATCCACAGTGATTTTGATTGCTGCCAAAAATATAAACAAGATGCAAAGAAATGGAAATTCATCCCATATAGATAAATAAAACACTGGCATCTTAACAGTTTTGAAAGTCTTCAGTATCCATAGATATCTACAATCCATTGATGCTTTTTTTGCAGAAATTAAAAAAAAAATCCATCTGACAACTTCTACGATATCCCTGGGGGGCATCAATAGCCAAAATGATTTTAAAGGAGAACAACAAATTCAGGAACTTGTCTCATAATTCTTGACCTCAAAAATCAATATGAAGCCAACAGTAATTAAAACAGTGTGATACTGGAATAAAGGATGATAATATGTGTTCCAGTGAAATAGATTAGAGGGCTCTGAAACAAACCTTTCCAAAGATGGTCAAGAGATTGCCGACAGGGATGCCAAAAGCTCTCAATTAGAAAAGAATAGGCTTTTCAAAACCAAAGTTGGAGGCTGGATCTCCACGCACAAAACCATAGTAAGGAACCCTAATCTTATAACACATCTAAAAATTAAAATTTTAAAAACAATGTAAATGTTATAGCTAACACTTTAAAATTCTGTCTTGGTTTGGCTGTTGTAAAACACCACCATGGGTTACAGACAATTGACATTCCTTTACCACAATCCTGGATATTGGATACCAGAGTTGATAGCACTGTGAAACACGGTACCACGATCAGGTTCTTAGTGTGACCTGCTTCTGGACTGGTGGATAACTTCTTATACATCTTATATGGGGGAGGAGAGCTTGCTTAGCTCTCTGGCCTCCTCTTATAAGATAACTGATTGTGTGTTCGCAATGACCCCATTCTCTTGACCAAACTACTTCCCTGTCCCTCCAAATAGCACCACTTTGGGAACACCAATTTCTTACCTCTTCATAGCCCAATGTGTCAGATGGGGAAAAATTAGTCTTTGTGCTACAGACAATTTGTATTCTTTCTAGTAATAAAGACACCAATCTGAGAGATCAGATAATCATCTTGTCTGATGCCGAAGTTTTTGTGTCAAACAGATGGGATCTGTGGAACGGTATGGCTGTTTTCTGTTTTCATGAGAAACATGAAAGTGGTTTCTCAAATATAAAGGAAAAAAATAGATGTGTGTCTTTTAAGCCTGAAAACTTTCTGTGTCTCTTTTCACAGAAATGTGACTAAAAGGTCCAAACTCTCAGGATGCCCCAGTGAGCCAGTCTTCACGCTGTGCTCCTTGAAGTTATCCATGCAGACAAGTTCCAGGGCTCAGCTAAAGCTCTAGGCCAGTGGTTCTCAGCCCATGGGTTGTGAAAGGCCTTTCACAGAGGTTGCATATTAGATATTCATGATCCATAACAGTAGCAAAATTACAGTTGTGATGTAGCAAGAAAACAAATTTATGGTTGGAAGGGTCACTACAACATGAGAAACTCCATTAATGGGTCATGACATTAGGAAGGTTGAAAACCACTGTTCTAGATCAATTCAAAATATGTCTAACACACACACACACACATCCACACACACACTGATGCACACATACATATAGTTTATTATATGTAAACTATAGAGTATAACATGTATTAGTCATTTATTTGTTGCTTTAATAAAATACCATGACCAAAAGTAAATTAAGAAAGACAATGCTTAGCTTATGGTTCCCGAGGGAGAGTCTATATTCTGGGGAAGGCATGGTGTCAAAAGTATGAACTGATTGATCACATTTTTTCTACACACAGGAAGCAGAGAGAAAACAGGAAGTCGAGTGAGGCTATAACCCATCAAAGTCTACCTCTAGTAACAGCCTTTCTCCAGCAAGGCTTTGCCCCCTAAAGGGTCCAAACAGTGCCACCAGCTGGGGAGCATGTTTTCAAATGCATGAGTCTATGAGGAACATCTTTCATTCAAACAATAGCAGAGGCTGTATCTATGTACAGAAAAGTACAGTCTGTCTCTCCCACACACATCTCTGTCATTGGCCTTTTATAGACAGAGACTGAGGGGTATTGTTACAGGAAAGCCTCTCAGTGTGTTTATAACTGCCTAGGCTCTCCCCACACAGAGTCTTGTAGACCTGGAAGAAAACTGTTTTCCTACCCTGATGAGCAAAGGTGAGGAACTGTATTATTGTATTATCTGTAGAAGAAAAAATAATGTGTTCATTCACAATGATTTGATTATAGGAAAAAATCCAAGGGGTGGGGGAAGAAAGCATATCATAAGCCTCAAAGTTGCAAAGCTGTTTGGAACTAACCTTGTCTCCCTGCTACTAGGACCTTTGTATGGGTGCAGATTCCACACTGAGGTTTGTGGTTATAGTTATCCTTAGTAGACAGCCAAGGCTCCAAAAGGTGCATGCAGGAATGCCTAAGACGAGGGGACACCACTGAGTCCCCCATGTTGTACAGGCCTTATCTTCAGAGACAAAGGAGGCCATGGTTGCAGAAGATTAGGCAGGGTGAACAGGGAAAGGATAAAGTCTAGACAAGCAAACTTAGCCTTCTATCAGAATGTTATTAGGCACCCACTGAGGTTCATAGGTGGTAGCCCCAGGTAGTGAACTCACTAAGTAATTCCAGTGAGTTTTAATAAGCACCTGCCAGGTATGACAGGTCAAGTAAGGGGGATTGTCTGAGAGGCTGCTAGGGGCTCCTTCCTGTAAGCACTTTGGTCAGATCTGACAATTTGGAAAATTGTCAGGAAAATGAAGCCACTAGGAATAATCATTGCCACTGAGATTATGGAAGCCCTCATTCCTGAGTTCTTCATGGTGCCGTTAAATGATTAGAGCTGGACACTAAGGGCCGTGGGAGGGAGGAGAGAGAGAGAGAGAGGCAGCAGCTCATGGCAGTGTAGCTAGAGGAGCTCAGAAACACCAGTGGACTTGTGCTCTCGAATCTGGTGCTAGTCACTTCTTTGCTGTACTGGGGAGGGCACTGATCAATCACACCATTTGATTTAAGTTTGGGCCTTTGCCTATTGCCAGGTGTGTCATATCAGTTGATTTGTTACATAATTTTATAGTCAGACTCTAATGCCCACACTTCCTTCGAACAGCTGGGTCAGCTGATATTTTTGCTACTGAATCCATGGTGTCCTGTGAGTATCTTAGGAACAGGTTTTATGTATTGGACAAAACAATGTGGTTAGCCATGAAGTGAGTATTTCTGTTGGAACACCGGCCACAGGAAAGAACAGTGTGCACTTTCATCTGAGGGGTCTGGCTGTTTCACCGTGGCTGTTTTTACTTAGGATTCTGCAGTTTGGGGAAACTCAGTAATCTCCAGAGACCAAATATACATATTCTCAGAAGTCTAAAAGTACAGGTGTCTTCCCCTGCAGAATATCTTACTCTGACAATAACAATAAACCGAGAAACTCTTGCAAATAGCCAATAATTTGAACTCAAAAGGCTTATCACCGTGGAGTGCTTTGTAAACATGGTGCAGGAGACTAGGTGCCCCAATAATCAAGTTATATGCTTGTCACCTTGATAATCTAGCCAAACAGTTTTTAAAATGTTCATGTATGTATGTATGTATGTATGTATATGTATGTATGTATATATGTATATGTATGTATGTATATATGAATGTATGAATGTGTGTAAATTTGTTTGTGTGTGTGCCCAGGTGCATGTGCAGAGGTCGAGGGATAACTTTCTGGAGTCATTTCTTTCCCTACCATTTGGATTCTGGGAATTAGACTCAGGTCTGCAAGCTTGACAGTAAATATTGTCCTATCTTGGCTGACCCTTGCCACACATTTCTCGAAAAGACAGCCCCTATTTATCAAATTATGTCTGTGAATATTCAGTCTAAAGAATAAAGTCAACAGAAGACTTGAAAGATCATCCAGGCTTTGGAAACTGTAATTAATGTTGAGAACTGACCTGCATTGGGGGTAGTGTCTCTGTGGTAGCCATAGACTTCAGGCTGTGTGGTGTTGGTGGGGGTGGCATTTGGCCCTGGCAGGCCACGATGATACATTCTTCTGGGGAGGCCTCTCAAGGCTCATCTAGCCCAGGGACTGTCCTAGTGTAGGCACCAACTGTGTATAGTTCGATGACCATTTGAAGCACGTGGTTACATAGGTGAACCAGTATTTGTGACTTCAAATCCATTAGACCAGGATCTAAGGTCTTTAATTTTGCTGTTGGGTTACAACTTTCCACTTAGGGTTGAGGTGTGGAATGATATCAGCTCTTTCCTTCTCCATGTTTTAGACAAGTGAGCTACTGTCCAAAGAGCAAAGTGATTTTTGTTTCAAAAAATTGAGTTTAAAATTTTTTGGGGGGGGGGGCTACTGCTGATGTTGTATGAAGCGCATGGTTTTCTTATGAAACACGTGATTTTCTTATCTCATGTTCCTCACTTCTCTCCCTCTCTCCTCCAGGAAGGGTCCCTGTGGCCTTCTGACAGCTCTGTACAGCGGCCAGGGGCTTCAGAGGTAAGACGGGGGCTGGGGGGAGAAGTCATGCCCACAGTCTTGGATTCAAAATCAACTTTAGGATAAAGTCATTGTCTGTAACTTTGCTTAAAAGGGACATAAGGATTTCCCCCCTTAGAATCGTGTGTCTAAGCTTTATACAGAGAATAGTTTAAAAATTGTGGAACCTTGGATTATTTTAGAGCTACCAACTGAGTTTTGGAAGTATAAGCCTAGTTTATACATATCAGATAGCATGGATTCTTCACACATAAACAATTTAGTAATATGAGTTTTTTGAGGCAAGTTCTCATCACGTAGCTCATGTTGGCTTATAACTTGCTATGTAGATCAGGCCAGCCTTGAAGTCGCAGAGATGCACTAGTTTCTGACTCCCAAGCTGGGGTTAAAGCATGTGCCATAATGTTCTTCCATTATCTGAAGCTTTAAGTATTTCAGTACAAATCGAAAAATAACAAAACCTAGATGTACAAAGACTGTGAAACAATGACATTTGTGGGACCCAACATAGGTATTGGCAGTCAGACTAAACCAAAACTCTCTGAGGAGAACTTCCCAGTATCCATCTGTAGAAAGATAAAGATGTCACGGTGGTTCCCCTTCTGGCCTCTAGTACTCTGTGACCTGCACAGAATCTGTATCATTGTTTCACATGCTAGAGAAGAGGACTAAAATGCAGGCATAAGACAGATTTATTTAACGTATGGCTAGCTCAAAGAGAGTGGCCAATAAACACAGTTGGGTTTGGAATAAACTTTAGAATTAAGACATTGTCTGATTTCTATTAAGAGGCTCAATAGAGAATTTTATCCTCGACTTATTCAATTATAGTTCTTCTGTTGCCACAATTTTATCAGTATGTCTTTCCTGTCAGTCTTGTCAAGTTTTATTTTTTATTCTACAGGAGAGAAAACTTAATTTGTTTTTAACTCTGTCACATATTGAATTATTGAAACAGTATCTTTTGCCTTTAAATATAAAATAAGGTTGAGACTGTTAAGTTGTTATACATACACACACACACACACACACACAGAGAGAGAGAGAGAGAGAGAGAGAGAGAGAGAGAGAGAGAGAGAGAGAGAGAGAGAGCCATCCACGCGGGTAACATTTGTCTTAGACAATTGGGATAAAATGTATTTCTATGATTAACTTTTATGTTAGCATTAGAAGCAATGGGCTCTATTCTATTGTATTCTGTTGTGTAATATTTCATTCATACATGGTTCCCTCCCCACTGTCTTTCCCATATCATCTCTTCTCTGACTGATTTCCTTCCCTCCGCCAGTAGAGCCTCTTCTGATTCTCACCACATGTATTCTACATCCTCCCTTCACCTCCATGAAGATCTTCTTTAGTTCCTTCATGTTCCCTTTCTAGCTCCGCCCCCGCCCTCTCTCAGCTAGGTTCTGAATATAAGGAAAAGAGAATTTCTGAATACAGTTTATTTACCTACCAATGATTTCAGTTCCATCCATTTTCCTGTGGATGTCATGATTTCGTTTTTTGTTATGGCTTCACAAAACTTCATGGTGTACATGTTCAACATTTTAAAAAATCTGTTGATGGATATCTATGCTAGTTTCATTCCCTGGACATTGTGAAGGAGATACCAATAATTGTGGATATGATAGTATTTCGCTGATAAGTTTCCTTAGAGTACTTTATCCATATTTGTAAGACTAGTATAGCTGGGAAATTTGAAAATTTCTCCTATACCCATACCCATAAATCTTATCATGTGGAGCAGGCCTTGAATCCAGCCAGATTAGTAGGTCACACCGATAATGTTCATGTCACTACTGTATCCGTGAGCATATCTTGCCAGACAACCTACTGTTGTAGTTCTCCAGGTTCACAGGTAAGTAAGATGGAATCTCAAATGTTGTCTGCATTTTCCTGATGTGCAAGGATGTTGAACATTTTAAAAGTGCTTCTTGGCTATTTGTTTTTCTTCTTTTGAGAATTCTGTTTAATTCCGTGCCCCAGTTTTCAATTGGGTTGTTTGTTTCAACACTGTCAGATGTATTGTTGGTAAAGATTTTCTTCCATCCTGCAAGTCTCCTCTTTACTGGAATGATGGTATCCTTTGCTGCACAGCTTTTTCATTTAGTTTGCCAGTCTTAATGTCTACAGTACTAGGGTCCTGTCAGAGAATTCTTTCCTGTGTGTAGATATTGAAACATATTCTCTACTTTGTTTGCTAGCTATTTCAGGGTATCAAGGGTTACATTGAGGTCCTTGATCCATCCAAAATTGATTTTTGTGCAGAGTGAACAATAATGGTCCCCTTTAATCCATTTACATGTAGCTATCTGGTTTCATCAGCACCATTTGTTGAGAACACTGTCTTTTCTACAATGTGTATGGATGGCCTCTTTGTCAAAAGTCAGGTGACTGAGGGAGTGTGAGCTCAATTGGGGTCTTCACTCTATTCCATTAATTCATGAGTCTGTTTTTATACCAGTCCCGTGCTGTTTTTATTACTATAGCCCTGTGGTATAAGTTGAGATCCAGATGGTGGTCCTGAGATCCAGCAGTCCTTTTATCGCTCAGGATTGCTCTGCCTATCCTTCTCTTCAAGTACCAATACTCTCCTTTCCACTCGCTCATTATATTGGCAAGGCTTTCCATGGAGTCTCTTATTTGGCTTACTGAATTTTTCATTTCACATTTTTATTTGTTGGGTCTTCAAAAATGCTCTTTACTAGACTACACTTTCAGATTTTGAATTTTTTTCCTTTGTGTCAGTCAACTGTGGTTTTGTGATCTTCCTTCTGACATTTTATGCATATCCCCTTTGAGTCAGTCTTGAACGTGTTCATAATTATTATTTTGAAATAAGTTGCTTTTTCAAGGGAATATAACTATGAGAATACTGGGTTTTGGAGGAGACACAGTATCTTGTTTATTTCTGGTATTTGTGTTTTACAATGAGACCTGGGTACTCAAAATTAGGCTGTTGGTAGTGTTTGTTTTGTCTTGTTTTTGGTATGGATCTGCCCTAACTTTGTTGAGTCAACATTTAGATCTTTGTTTGTTGTTATCCCTGATTGTCAGCTTGTAGATCAGCAGAATGGTGTTTGGAGTTCAGTCTTGGGGCCACTAGGTGTTGATGTGTGTGTAAATGGGGTCCCAGATCACCTGGGGGCTAGGTTATGGCTTGCTTCTGAGCATAGGAGCCAGCTAACTTCCTATAGAACTTTCCTGGAACCTTCTTGCTACAGGCTCCAGAAGTCTATGGAAGTCTCCCTCAGTTCTGCCGGTGGTCCTAGGTGAGGGTTGGAGTCACTGTGATAGTGGGTGATATATATATTTTTGTATGTTGATTTTGGACCCTTGCTATTTTGATGAAAGTGTTTACCAAGCCTCAGAGGTTTCCTTATGGAGTTTCATGTTTTGTACTTTAAAGTAACTTAGCTTCTTTCTTTCCCATTTGAATCTCATTTACTTCATTCTCTTGTCTTACTGTACTAGCTAAGACTTAGAACACTATATTGAATACAAAAGTTCAAAGAGTGGCCATCTTGGCTTCATTTCAGATTTTGGAGGAACTGTTCTCAGTGTTTCCTTACTTACATCTTCCAGAGTCTCCATGATCCTAGGGTAGCTAATGTTTTAGCTGGGGTGTGCCTCCCTAGTGCTTTGAAATCGAAGAATGCAAGCAACAGAACTGAGCTTGGCCCAGGTGGAGGGTCTATGTTCTCCCAGACCTCACCCTGATGGAAGGTTACAGCTTGTAGTGTCAAGTACACCCCTGGAACATCAGAGGTCTCCAACTTTTTAGCAGTAAAGGGAAGATAGGTAGTTCCAGCATTTATTTTATCCATTTACTGGCCTCGTGATCAGAACGATTAAATTCCAAGATTGTTCTCAATCCAAGATATATGTTTCAGGCCATCCAGGGTGAAATGGTCTTTTTGTATATATATCTTAGCATGAACCTAACCTCATGACGCCACCACCCTCCCCCTTTGGCCTGTCACCGTCTACCCATCCTGATGTCCAAAACTGCTTCTCTGGGCCTTCCCTCATCCAGGGCCTATGTCAGGTCACACTGAGGTTGGCTGACCTGCAGCAGTTCCCTGGTCTTGGTTCCCTGGGGCAGCTTCATTTTAAATAATTGATCCCATCTCAGTGAGGTAGCAGTGCTGTCCCCTGAGTCAAAAAGTGTGACAGAATGGGACTTTTCTCTGCTGATGCTCTGACCACTTGAGGAATCCCTGGCTCATCAAAGCTTGTAACTGCATCTGGGGCCCGTGGGGTCTGACGGTTTGTCCTGAGGGTAGGGATGCCAGTCTCTCCTCCAGCTCCCCTCCTGTGTCAGCCAGGAAACCCAGCATCTGGGGGTGTGTTCAGCTTACTTCTCCATATTGCTTTTCCCCCCTCTTCTTTTGACATCGTTTGTGGATTTCCGTAGTGTTTTCTGTCTTTGGAATAATGTCTATTTCCTGTTACTCCGACTTTCTCTTTCACCAGCTTACACAAAGGCAGCCTATACTTTACCATTTTAAACAAGACTCCCAAGAGAGGAGTTTTAAAGAAATATATGTCCTGAGTATTTTGTAGGGAAAAAAATCTATAATCACATTTATCTTGAAATGTAAAGTTTTTCATATTAATAACTAAAAATAACTATAGTAAACTCGTATTGAAATAACTGTAAAAGTATAGAAATCTAAGAGAAAAGTCATGTTTCTGGTTTATTTGGTTATTTGCAAAGAGTATTTAACCTCAGAGACGCTTGTCTCTTTGCTCAGTCTTGGTTTCTACAGCTGTTAGGTCCCAAGAAAACAAGAGGCTTACTCTGCCTGGTCTTATATTTTATGGGTAAAGCCACTGAAGCTTGGATGAAGTCACCTGTGACCTGCCCCCTAGAGGACCACACCATGTTCCCTGCCCTGTCCCTGCTCCCTGCTCTCTCCTCTCCATGGGGTTTCACTTGAATCTTTGTCTCCTGCTCCCCAATAACCTCCAATACATCCAAATCTTGAGTTAGTTATAATTCCCAACTAAGTTTGCCTTCCCAGATATGCTAATACACATTAGGTCTAACCCTGCCCCCTCCTTAAAAAAACAACAACAAAATGATTCTGGATGTCTTAGGGTTTCATTGCTGTGAAGAGACACCATGACCACAGCAACTCTTATAAAGGACAACATTTAATTGGGGCTTGCTTGCAGGTTCAGTTGTACTGAGAGTGTCCTCAGACCTCTTCTCTTTTCCTTCCAGATCATGTGTGCCCCACGGGGTAGGGATAGGTTTACTACCCCATCTTTCATCCAGCGGGATCCGTTCAGCCGTTTCCAGCCCACCTACCCCTATGTGCAGCACGAGATTGACTTGCCTCCCACCATCTCCCTGTCAGACGGGGAGGAGCCGCCTCCTTACCAAGGACCCTGCACTCTACAGCTCCGGGACCCAGAGCAGCAGATGGAACTCAACCGCGAGTCCGTGAGGGCCCCGCCCAATCGAACCGTTTTTGACAGTGATTTGTTAGACATTTCTATGTACAACGGGGGACCATGCCCACCAAGCAGTCACTCGGGCATCAGCGCAGCTACCTGTAGCAGTAATGGAAGAATGGAGGGCCCGCCCCCGACCTACAGCGAGGTGATGGGCCACTACCCAGGCACCTCGTTCTTCCATCACCAGCATAGCAACGCACACAGGGGCAGCAGACCACAGTTTCAGCCGAACAACTCAGAGGGCACAATAGTACCCATCAAGGGCAAAGACAGGAAGCCTGGGGACCTGGTCTGATTCCCTCCAGAGTGCACTTTTCAAGGAGAGAGAAACCTCAGCAGGGAGAGAGAGGCCTGCAGGCCCCACTGCCCAGTGTTGTCCAGCTTTACGTGGTACAGCTGAGTAAAACCAAATGTGCAAACACGGTCTTCGTTTCTGATTCCTTTCACGGGAATTGCATGCAAACAAGACTGAAACACGATATAAACTTCCATCCAGTTTGACCACAAACAGTGTTCATCTTGGGGCAGGGTTGGAGACAGGGCTAGAGATGGTATGAGCTTGGCGAAGAGGTGTTTCAGAGAAAACCGAAAAGGCTGCTTTGAAGACATCATGAACGTAAGACCCACAGAGGTATTTTTGACATATTTAATTCCAAAAGGAGACTGTGGATAAATGAGGCCACAATGGCCTGTTTTATAATTAACTGAATAAAGAAGGAAGAATTATTATATATTATCATAGGGGAAGAATCAGCCAGTTTGCTTTTTCTCCAAAGGTGTGAAACTTATTTTGTTTTAAAAATATGAGTCAAAACTCCTGTTTTTGTGTGCCAAGGTTTAAAGTTGGAGAAGTTAGGCGAGTGAGAGGAAGTGATTTATGTTGTGATGGTATGTTTTAAAAGTTGCACTATCTCAATGTTTAACCTATGGATGAGGGAACCGTGTCGTGTGAAGTTCTGTATGTTGTCTTGTCACCTATGGATGGCTGCATGGCCAAGGAACACTCTTGAGTGTCCACAGAGTCATACAAGAAAGGTATTTGGGAATGTACCCTGGCATTTACCAAGTTAACGTACATTTTAAAAAGTGGTTATGTTGCAAGAATTTGCAGCCAGAAGCAGTGTACTACTGAGGTATTTGGAGAGGTTGGTAAAAAGAGATGCTTGCATTGTGTACCAAGTGTCATGCAGAGCTAGTCTTAGTCCCAGCAGGGTCAGCAGTTTAGACTTTTTTCACTGCAGCATGAAATATATTCAGATGCATACCCTATTTTATGCAATAAATCGTCTAAACTGCAAGCTGGCTGTTTTGTGTATGCTGAACTATGGGTCACAGTGAATCTCCTAAGCAGCTCTGATGAGTTCTGCCAGGGTTCTCTGTTCAGCGTCTAGCACCAGCAGTTGTCCCCAAGGCCACGTGGCTTTCTAAGTGCTGTGCTGGTAATGGTTTCTTATGTTTAATATGCCCCTGTACTCTGACAGAGGAACAAGTTTGACATAATAAGCCATTACGTATCTCCAGCATTGCATGTTAGGGGAATCTGGCACAGACCTACCAACACACATGCCAAAGACTCACTTCTGAATAGCCGGTCTTTGTACCTTGTTCGGTTAGAGGTTAGAGGTGGTGGATCAGGGTGTGACTCAGAACAAGGCAGGGCAGGCAAAGTTGCAGCTGAAAAATGGCTTCGTAGTATTTGAAGTCAGTTTATGCTTTCTAATATTTCTTATGTGGAAAAAAAAAGAAACCCAACAACTTTCTTATGCAGATATAAGAGCTGGTTTTCTAAACTCTACTAAGGCAGGCTCATCCACAGTGGCAGGCCTGCTCTCTGGAAGTCTGGCCTCTGCATGCAACACAAAGAACAGGAATGGAAATTCGATGGCAGCTTTAACACCAAATCTCAATCTCTCTCTCTCTCTCTCTCTCTCTCTCTCTCTCTC